TCTGGGGGGCTCCCAACGCAGGGAGAGCTGGGTCCCTGATGCAGAGAAGCTCAGATTCTGGGGAGCCGATGGGGGACCTGGGGGACAAGAGGAGCCATCAAATAGGCACCAAGTTTGCTGTCACCTTAGTAACCGACCCCTGCTTCCGTTCATCATTCCAATTACCGGTGTCCTCCAAAGCCCTCATGAGAGATTTGACTTCTGGCAAAGAGGAAGCCACATAACCATACCCCTACATTCTAGAAAGAACAGAGGGCAGGGAGGAGCTCTAATCAGCACCTGCCTCCCTGGGTCTCTACTACTTGGTAAGCTCTGGGAAGTCCTAGCCCCAAGGAGGGCCCAGGAACTGTGGCCAGGTTGCCAGGCCCTGGCTGCAAGACTTACGTGTGCATGCTATCTGGGGGCCCTCCCCAGGGGCTCGGTAATGTCCATTCTCACAGGAACACATGGTAGACCCCTCGGACACCGCTGTGCTATGTTGAGGGCACTTGAGACAACGGAGTGTTTCCACGTCTCTTCGGTAGAAGCCAACAGGGCAGGCTGGAGAGAGAAGGCAGAACCACGTCTTTTGTTTTTACACGAAAAACCGAGCCTGCGCGTTTTCTACTCCACTCCCCGGAACTGGAACACCCCTGCAGACATGCCACTCAGGTTAAAAATCATGGCAACGAAGCCCTGTTTTGGCACCTATAAGGCCCACCCAGGTGATCCCTGGGGCTTCCTCCCACCCCATTTCTTACCAGTGCACCCCACACTGCCACTGCCTTCCTCGTAGCCAGGTTCACAGTGGCACTGGCCCACCGGCACCAGCCACTCGCCGTCGGGACTGCAGTGCATGCGCGGTGTACCCGAGGACCCCGGGCTGATCTGTGCTCGGGAGACGCAGGTTCCAGCCACTTCTACCAATCCTCCAGGTCCAGGCAGAGTGTCAGGGAAGTGGGCCAAGCCGTGCACAGTCTCTGCACAGCGTTGGAAGAACACTCTTACAGACACGAGGGCCACACAGGAACCCGGGTTGTGGAAAGCTAGGTAGAGGCCACGACGGGTCAGGCGGCCCAAGGAGCAACGCTCTACGTTGAGCTTCACAGAGCCAGATGCCAGGTCTCTGACGGTGAAGCTCTGGTCTGCAGCCACGGTCGTTACCTGGGGAGCAGAAGGGATGCCCACGCTTCATCCCCACTCCAACAAGCAACTTTTGGTTTCGCATAGGCTTACTGCCTCTGACCCACAAATCTAAAACCTGACGTGCTCCCAAGCCTGATACCACAGACGGAAATGTCTACTACATATGATCTCACGTGATGGAACCAACCATAAGGCGATCATACTGTAATTTGTATAAAAGCACCCCAAGCTACACGTATAAGCCATAGGTGAAACATGAAGACAATTCATAATTAGAATTGGGTCCCATCCCCAAGGTGTGTCTACATAGACATTCCAAAGTCTGAAGTCTGAAACACTGCAGACCCTAAGCATTGTGGATTACGGACGCCCAGTGTACATAGCCATGACGGAAGAGGTTGACGCCCGAGCGTAAGCGCTTTGCAGACACGCAATAACCACGTGAGACAGGATGCCTCGCCATCTTCCTTAACAGAAGAGGAGGTCAAGGCTATGACAATCTGGTCCTTCTAAACGAGAGTGTAGCTATGACACGGTGGAGCTAGGACTGGAACCCAGGCAGTGGAACGCTACAGACCCATAAAATTTTCCACTACCGGGAGGTGTTCCTAAGACCGCCCATGAGGTGATCAGCTACAGAGTGCGCCATAACTGATTTACTACCAATAACAAACTTTACAGCCTTGACTCACTGGAAAGAAACAAGAGCACAACCCACAATAAGCTCAGACTGTTTTGCTTTCTAGCGTGTTTCCGTGCCATGAAAGAATGCCTTGGTCCTAGTGACTGGTAGTTCCAGGGATGCTCTTGGGGGCGTGTCACATAGCACCATGATGGGCGCTGAGGTAGAATGTCTGAAAGCCTCCACACTACAATCCCCTTTCGACCACAGCATAATGCTATTTCAGTGGATGCCAAGTAATAAGTAATGAGACCGCCCAGGCGCAGAGAGGTTAAATGGTGCCCTTGAAGTCAGAGCGCAGCCAGTGACGCGCAGGTCAGCCTCTCTGGTATTGTCTGTCTTGTATTCTTTCCCTTATTCTACGTTCGCGCTTGCCCTGCTTCTCCTCGGCTGAGCTGGGCCATGGTGCGGATCCCCCTATCAGGGGTGGGAACCGCACGCAGGGGCAGCAGTACCTTCTGGAACAAAGGCCGTCGGAGCTGAATGCCCACATCCTGGTCACTCTCCATGTAGAGAAGGTTGAAGGTCTCCTTGCATCCCAGAGGCGCAGCCCCGCCCGGGAAACTCTTACAGTCCCGCACAGTGAACTGCAGCTCCACGTGAACGCGGGAAGCCTCCTCCCCTCGGTAGATCCAATTGGAGCGAAGCCAGTGGTTCGTGTCTCCGCTCTCCTGTACCGGGCAGTCCTGGTACATGTACAGGGGCGTCCCGTTCAGCATTTGTTGCACCTCACTCCACTGCGAGAAGAGAAGCAGACTCAGCGGTCAGAGCGGACCAGGAGGGAGATGGAGTCAGACCTCCCAGGCTAACGTGTGACTTGTGGTCCAGCGTCGCTCAACTTCCCAGCCCCAGCAGAGTAGGTTAAGTGTTTCAAGCTGGGGGGGGGGCGGGTTACTTGGACTTGGGGAAGATAAGGTTTTTATACCCTAGCCTATAGTTGGTCCCTTAATTCCATCTGCTTCAAACAGAAGAGTACGGCCAGGACTTTTGACCTGTTCAATCAGCAGAACTGTCAGGCACCCCCAAAGGCATCTGTCGGTCTGTTTTGTTCAGAGTCTTAGTTTTCAAACTCTCTCTGTCTTTGGAATACAGGGACAAGCACAGAACTGTGCATGGAGAGCCGTCCCTTGACTTTTTTTAACATTTAAAGAATTTTTAAATCTAGTAATCCTAATGGCTGGCATTGCTATAACTTCCCACAGGTCACTGATACAGGGCCAGTATGGAGTAACTTGCCCAATATCTGAGGGACTTACTTGGGCATTAAGCGACAGAGTTGGAATGCTAAGCCAGGCACTTCAGGTCTAGAAATTTATGCTCTTAATCTTCACATCTCTGTTTACTATAGCAGGTTAGGAGATGACTTACAAAGGTAAGGCCTCCCCAATCCTTCCACCTTTACTCTGAGAGGTAGCCATTCCTAGTGGTTTGAAATAAAACTTTCTAGACCACTTTCAAAACTTCCCAAGAAAGCGTCTAAATGGTTCTGCATTTTTAGAATAAAAGCCATACGAGGGTTATTCTGTAGTTTCCTTGGCTGTAACAAATAATGCCTTGGGATTATGCCTATAGGATGCATACAGACCTGGCTCTTGTTGCAAAATACAGACAGCACCCCGTCATATGGATGCACCATAATCATTTAATCATTCACCTATTGTTGGGTAATTATCTCGTTCCTATTTATTTATTTTAGGGAAGCAGACAGATGGTTGCAAGATTTCTACCGAATTGCTGAATCAATAGATCAGAATTTTTACAAGATGTTGCTAAGCTGGTCTCCAAAGGCTTCATCGGTTTGAGAGTTCGTCTTCTGAAGAGCTCATCAGAAGGGGCACTAAAGTTCTCTCCACCTTTTCCCAGTCCATGGACAAGCCAGCACAGCGTTTGCCGCTGCTGCATTTCTTTGAAGGAGGGAGGTTGCATGTCTCTCTTTTGCTCACTGGCTGTTTATGTTTGCATTAAACTCTGCCATTTTCATTCGGAGGAGCTTTATAAAAAATGCATTATAGATACTAACTATTTGCTTGGTATGGATGTTTCAGAGATTCTCAGCCACCCCACATTTTTGCTAATGGCACCATTTATGTGAAAACACATTTTGCATTTTTGCACGATCACATCAAGAGTTTTGGGCTGTGTGTTTATGCCTGAGGTCATACATTTCTTTTTAATCTTTTGGCCTGAAAATTTTATAGTTTTTTTGTTGTTGTTGTTGTTGTTTTTTGAGACAGGGTTTCTCTGAAGCTTTGGACGCTGTCCTGGAACTAGGTCTTGTAGACCAGGCTGGCCTCGAACTCACAGAGATCCGCCTGCCTCTGCCTCCCAAGTGCTGGGATTAAAGGCGTGCGCCACCAACGCCTGTAGGTTTTTTTTTTTAATTTTTTGTTTTTGGCTTAAACTTTGATCTCACCAGAATTTTTTTTTATCTGCTCCAAGAACATGGAGAGGTGTTTTCATTCTGTCATAAAAAATTACAGACATCCAGTTGCCAGTATGGCGGCAAATCAATACTTTTGGGGATCGGTGCACACCCCAAAATATATTTATTTGGCCACTGAAATGATTGCTTGGAAAAAATAACCGGTAAGGACAGGATTAGCTCATACAGGCTGCTCTTTGGTAAAAGACATTTACATCTTTGGAGAGGATTTACATTGTGAGCGTCAGTACCAGGAAGAAGGCTGCACAAAGGAAACTTCTCTCGCCCCAGAGACTTTCAAATGGAAGCAGCAGGACACCCTTTGTTCATTTCACACTTGGGCCTAACCCCGCCTCCCCGCCCCGCCCCCTCCTCTCCAAAGCTCAGGATGACACACAGAAGCCTCAGCCCTCAGAACTTTCTTGGAACTTCATCCTGTGCCAATGAAGGTAATTAAAATAGTGTTTCTCCTGTTAATTCATCATCTGGTGTCACTTTCACAGGCTCACTTAGGGAGAGGGGAGGAAGCATTTCTGTCCCCAGCAATACTTTCCACACGGAATGGAAATTCCACGGTCATCCGCATGAAATTATCGTACATGTGGATTTGGGTCTGTCCTTTCTACTCTGTTCCGTTGGCCTGGGTGCTCTGGTCAACATTCCAGGGGCTTAATCACTGTCCACGTTCTGGTTATCTGCTGGTGGCATAGACACCGTACTTCATCAGTGACATTTTTTTCTCTCGAACATTTCCTCGGCCAGAAGCTTACAGTGCTCACTTTGGCAGCACATGCACTAAAATTGGAATAATACAGAGGATCTTAGCACGGCCCCTGCACGAGAGAGAGAGAGAGAGAGAGAGAGAGAGAGAGAGAGAGAGAGAGAGAGAGAGAGAGAGAGAGAGAGAGAGAGAGAAAGAGAGAAAGAGAGAAAGAGAGAAAGAGAGAAAGAGAGAAAGAGAGAAAGAATACCGGGCATTGGTGGCGCACGCCTTTAATCCCAGCACTTGGGAGGCAGGAGCGAGAGGATCTCTGTGAGTTCGAGACCAGCCTGGTCTACAAGACCTAGTTCCAGGACAGCCTCCAAAGCCACAGAGAAACCATGTCTTGAAAAAAACAAAACAAAAAAAAAAAAAAAAGAAAAAGAAAGAACACAAATTTCACAAACCATTTCACTGATATTTTGGATGCCATCCCAAATTTGATGGAGAAGAGACTGAGACCCTGAGGAAACTCATCCTGAGACTTTTTATTCCACTCCAGTGAGCGGGCCCTCATGACCAAAAAAAAAAAGTACCACTAATTAAGAATTGGTAGGGTGGTGCCATCCTGAAGCATGTAATTCTGTATTATGTCACAGAGTTCAAAGATCAAACGAGGTGTCCGAAGGCCACAACTCTACCTGGAGTTTGCACCGTGGGGAAGCCCAGGGCACAGGCAGGTGGACAGGAGGGTTACCACCTTAATATGTGGCAGATCAGTAGCCAGACTGCCAAGGCTGCAGCTGGAGCCCAGGGAAACAGATGTTCCCAGCTGTGACTGCCTCTTCCAACTCCAGCAGGGACAGATGGGGGACAGCTATCATCTGGGAACAACACTGAGGATCCTTTCACTTGACACTCATGAGCGCCGGCCCGCTGGTTGTTAACATGGGTGTATTCTGGGAGGTTGGCTGTGCGGACTTAGCCGGTTTTAGAAAGAGGGAGGAGGAGGAGGAGGAAGAGATCAGGGTGGGAGCACGGCCCTTGCAGCACTGGACCGTGATAGAGGCCTTGCTTCCACTGGGGCTCAATTATTCAGGTGGGGCTGGCGAAGCGTAAGGAGGGCCAGTGGGAGCCAGCAGATGGTCCTGCCAGGCCTTCCTTGTGGGTGATTAGCTGGTTTATGAGATGAGGCACCTATTAGAGTTGGCCTAATCCAGGATTTTGCAAACGGGCCCCTCCTGGAGGATGCATTATGGTTTAGTCTGTTAACTCTAATTATAGGCCACTCTGTGGAAGAGCTCCAAGGGGAGCCTTGACCCTCCATTCCAAGAGGGAAAGAAAGCAGTAACTCTAATCCCAGCAACAGCAGCAGCACATGCCTTAGGTGCTGGATTAAGGAAAGGAAATCCAGAGAATAGGTCCAGGACCAGTCAGTAAATCTCCCACCCCAGAGGTATTGTCATGTGGTTCCAAGTAATAGTAGTCTCCAGCCACAGAGGTATTGCCTTGTGTCTCTAAGGCCAGCTCTACTGGGTTGCAGCAAGGGTGCCCCTGGACCTTAGGCCTGAATACAATCTTTCTGACACACTAATAGCCCACCTCTGCTCCTGGGTCTCAGGGACAGACACCTAAGGTGGGACGGGACTTGGAGCTGGCTTTTTCTTTCTCAAGCAGCTGGAATACATGGCATTTGTGGAGGCTGCTTGGGAGGGGTGGAGAACAAGCCCAGTGTTTGGGGGGCCCTGGAGGGGAGCAGCTTTTAGGTTTGAGGGAGCCAAAAGGACCTTTGAAGACTTTGATGAGAGTTTTGGCTCTCCTCCTCAGGAAGAAAAAACAAATCCATACATCATTCACACTTTCATGGAGCTCTGCAACCCCTCCACATAACTCACTGCAACGAACAGAGCTGAGGCTCTGGATGCTTTCCGGGGGACTGCCTCATCCAGCTGATAGCCTTCCTTAGCATAGGCATGCTCTCAGTAGGGGGTGTGAGCCCCCCGCCCTCCACCATGGCAAGAGGGCGAGGCTGTGGAGACAGTCCCAGCAGAGGGAAGTTTGACACCCCCCCCCCCCACAAGTGCCATCCAGGAGGCTCTGACTCAGCTTCCCCTCCCCCTCTAAAGGAGATACTTCCAGTTTTTCCTGATCTTTTTTTTTTTTGTCCCTCCGCCCACCTCTCCACCCCATTTCCCGCTGGCCTTCACACTTGAACTTTTCCCAGGTCCTCCAGACACTTACCCCATCCTCCGGGGGGTCCAGAAGCCAGCCCAGCTCTCCTTGTGACTTGCTTGTGTCCATCAGAGTGACTGAATGAGGAGGAAACGAGAATGTCACCTAAGGGGGAGGAGGCGGGCGCCCTGCTGTGTACCCTGGGTATTGTGGTGCTCCCCCAGCCCGAGCGAGGTCCGGGAATTAGGAGTGAAGCGCTCCAGGGGATCACAGCGGATGGATTCCTCCGGAGTGTGATGGGAGCTAGGAGGAGCGGGGGTAAGGGTTGGAGGCTGGGGCTTGAACCAGAGTCCGGACAGCGAGCCTTGGAAGAGCAGCCTCAGACGCTGTGCCAACGGGGTCCGGGAGTACTGGAGTACCCGTCTGCCGCAGGGATTGCCACGGGCGGACGTCAGGGAAGATAAACCTTCGTAGTCCTGAGTGGGACCCTGGCAGGGGCTCCTGTTGGGAGTTTGACTTCTGCTGTCAACGGCCAAAGCTCTGGTGGATGAGGGTACAGGAGGTGGGGCGCTAGGCCCAGCTCCGATATTGGGAAGTGGGAGGGGCACAGTCAGGGAGGGTTTGCAAAACTTGAGGTTGTAAAGTTGGATTCTCAACACCTGGGAGCCCCTGAGTGCTAATCCTCCCACCGGCGGCGGTCTATCTGTGGTCTGGTTGAGCCGGCTGAAAGGGAGGCTTTTCTACCTGGGACTTCTGAGTGCTGCTGCAAACTCGGGGTGGGCACACGGAGGGTCCCACGAAGCTGCAGTGTGAGTGCAGCTCCCCTGGCTGTGGTCAGGAACTCCCCCTCTCCACCCACAAAATCGTGCTGGCCAGAGGAGGGTAAGGGTGACTGATCCCGTGGGCAGGAGTCTGGGGTTAAAGACCAAAGATTGGCCAGGCCAATCGATCTCCTCGCTCCCGGGGGGCGCAGACGGGGAGGAGGAGTGGGGTGCGGAGAGGAAAGGGGGGGAGCTTCCTCAGGAATGCCGGCTTCTGCAGGCTGCTGCCCGCCAACCGGGGCAAAGGGAGAGGGAGGGGGTCGGTACCTTCCTCGGCGCGCGCCCCCGGGGGCAGCGGGGCGCACAGCAGCAGCAGCAGCAGCAGCGCGAGCCCCGGGGGCCAGCGCCGCTCCATGGCGCCGGCCGGGACCTGGGACCTCGGCCCCCGACGGCTGGGCCAGGTCGCGAAGGGACTGGGCGAGCCAGGCCGGCCAGGCGGGGGCGGGGAGGGAGGGGCCAGCGCGGGGTGGGGCGGGGCCTCGACCTCACCTGGTTCACCTTCTTAAAGGGACAGTAGGGCAGGAAGGAAACTTGTTAGGCAGGTAATAAACTTTTAAGACCTGGAGGCGTCTTGGTCGGAACGAGGCCGAGGTCGCCGCCTAGTGGGCGTTGCCGGGAATTGGCTAGACTTTCTTAAGTGTATCCTAAACCCAACCCAGTCTGGATCCAGCCTTCAACTAGTTCGACTTGACTTGGAAGAGATCTCCGCATTTATTTATTTATTTTTTTTGTTTCCGGCCGACTCTAGGCTTGTCATGGCCACTGCGGGAAGCTAGGAGTGGGAAACACTCCTTTCTTTCTTTTTCGGCTTAGATAAAGACCATGCAAACTGGGTACAATACATAGCAAAAGTCGTGAGGAGTCTTCAGAGGGAAGCTGGCGTGACCAGGGTGTTAGGTGGCAGGCGATTGAGAAAGGTCTGCAGGCAGGGAGCCTCGAGGTGTGCTCAGGGAGTGGCACGTGGACCAGTTTGACTGCTGGGGTGCAGCATTTGTCCTGGGAGCCAGGGCAGAAAGGCGGGTGCGGGGCAGGGCCAGGAAGGGCCTGGTAAACACGCGGAGGGGTGCAAACTTTGCCATGTACCCCACCAGAGGGGACGCGGGGACCTGGGGAGCATTCCCGGCCTAGTTTTGCAGAAGAAAGGAGCTTGCTGCTTACCTTAGCTTTAGTGGCGGCAGTTCTGGGCTCTCCTGTTCTTTTGGGACTGCCTCCCATCCTGCTGAATAGAGTGATGTCTGCCCTGCCTTTACTACGTATGCGCTTTAAGTTCAGGGACAGTAATACAGTCCTTAAGAGGGATAGGGGCAGGATGACTAAAAGGAAAGCAGGACTGAACCCCACAGAGGTGAGAACAGGCTGACCACAGGGTGAGCTGTGCAGCCACTAAACGCCCCCGCTCTCTTTTTCATTCCTTCCTCGCTTGGTCCCATTAACGTGACTCACACATAGCTCTTCTATCACTTAAATTCTTGCATATTCTGGCCATTGTACAGGATAAGGAAGTGGAAGATTAATAGACACCTGTTTAACTTTTACAGTTCATGCTTCTCATTATTTCACATTTTTTTTAATGCAAGTATTGTTAGTGGAATACAGTCCCTGATTTCTTGGCCTGCCCTATTCTCATTGACATAAATAAATGAGTAGTCTGTAACAGTTGTAGATTACACATTCAGCAGAAAGAAGCTCAATGTGGAATAGAATGTTCCCCCCCACACCCCCCACCCCGCTCTGCAAAGTGCCTCAAGTTAAACCAATATCCACCATTTCTTGTGGTTCCTCTCAGAATTCTCTCCCTATCTCCACGCCATGTCATACTCTCCCTCTCCTCCCCACACATACATACATACATGCGTTTCAGTTGTGGTTGAGGGGGGTGGAGAGACAGATGACACACGCTACCTTGTACCAGGCATCTCTTTCCTGATGTTTAGCATCAGTGTGGAGGGAGGCAGCCTGCTCTCTCCAGGCAGAGCCTTGTGATTTCAGCAGGGAGGAATGGAATGGATGAAGGGTGGAAAGCCAACCCTGGGGGGGGGAGGGGATGGAGCAGCATTGGACAGTCACTGCTAGGAAATAAACCAGACTCTGGTGAGGTAACGCATGTGCTGTTTCATGGAGTTCCTTAGAGTTAGAGGACCCTCGGGACTCCAGGGGATGAGGGAACCGTGTCAGGCGATGAAATA